AGCAATGCTCTCACCTCCTTTGTCGGTGAAGATCCCTGTTAAGCTCTTCTACATGACAGTACTTCCAGGCTTCTATGACAAGTGCGTCGAGCTGACGCGGCCGTGGATCGACGAGGAGGTGCGTGAGACTACCGCGAACATGAAGACGTTCAAGGCGAGCGATCTCTCCCGGAAGGCCCTCTTGCTCAAGGCCAGGGCCGCCGAGGCGGCAGCGAATGGTGCAGAGGACGAGGCCAACAACGCCAGGCTTGAGAAGAGGAAGAGGGAGGAGTGGACTGATGTTGCTAAGCATCTGTTGGGATGATTTCAGGCTCGGGCCGAGGAACGATTTCTTTTTTGCGCCCTTCTGTTAGGCCGAGTGCATAGGGCTCAGAAGCCAGACGTCCCAATCGAAACGTGAAACAACTTAGTACAAACATGTGCATCCAAGTTCGTAGCTTGATCTGTTGAAACAAACGGTTGGGACGCATTCTGAGCCTTTCGCAATGCGTATTCTTCCAATCTCGGTAGCATTGCATTGCTTCTTCCACGATGCGTGCGGTCGCACGCGTCCTTACGTTAAGTCCCATGGACTTCCATCAGGTGTACTTGTGCTTCTGTGAAGTTCGAATTCGATTTACGGTATTGCTTAATTGGCCTTTTCATGGGGTACTCAAGCGAGCTGGGTGTATGTTGTTTTCACCGTCACCAGAGAGTCTTAGGCAGCGGCCAAGAGGGAAGCGCCGAGGGTTCGGCTGGGCTCGTCTCGTCGTTTACGGCAGTGGCCAAGAGGGCCGCGTCGTGGGCAGAGCCGACGGCAACTACACCGCACCAGAACACTACACACACACGCACGCACGCTGACACACACACACACACACGCACACACACACACACTCACTCACTGCCAGCCGCTGCCAGCCAGCTGGGCCAGCTGGGCCAGCAACTGTGGTGAAGTTGATTCGAGATATTGAGTTCTGCGCAAGCAAAGAATTTCATCCGACGCGGCTCCACCGACGTATCCAACGTTCTGCCTCCATTTCAAGCGCTACGCGCTCCAGCCAGCCCTTCCGGATAAGCTTGGGTGTCTTGGATATCTGGGGTGTCTTGAGTGTATGGTTCTCTTGGGTATATTGGATGAGGCATCTAGGGTGTGCTGGGTATCTTGGGTATATTGCTTGTCTTGGGTAGTTCGGGTGTCTTGGGTAGATTGAGTTTCTTGGGCGTCTTGGGCATATTGGTTGTATTCGGTATAAATGGTGCCTTGGGTATCTCGTGCGTCTTGGGTAGATTGGATTTCTTGGCATGGGCATCTTGGGTGTGATGGGCATCATGGGAATATTGGCTGTCTTGGGCGTGGGCCGTCTCGGTTTTAGGTGCGTGTCGCACTCATGCGTTCCAGTGCTGTTCCTCTTTGCACTTTGCAAGTGATAAACATAACCCACGCCGACCACGCCCTACTATATTCCAAGCGCTACGCGCTACAACTTGATTGCGACCATGCCTCATGAATATGTTGTCCGACCGCGCCCTACTATATTCCAAGCGCTACGCGCTATGTCCTGACTGCGACCATGCCTCATGAATATGTTGTTCGATTCCAAACGCTATCGCGCCCCGCCGCATTTTGTATTGTTATGAAACAGAAACGAATGATACTTGCAAGCGCATCGCGCTCCAGACATCAGAGGGTATATATGTATATACATACGTATACAGACATGGATATGCGGGATATTTGCGATTGATTAAGCAATGCCAATGTTGTTACTAGCGTAATAAGCAACAACACATTTCAAATACATATTGGTTTTCGAACGTCTCAGTTTACGTATATCCTCTCTGTATATCATCATTTTCCTTTTCCTACCCTCGTCCTTTCCTTCCTTTTCGTCACGTCGTCGCCCCCCCCCCCCAGAACTTCCCAGGACACATAAAAACACGTTTTGCACATACCCACTCCTCCGGCACCTCCTCTCCATCCTTCCTCCTCCTGTTCCACGTTCGGCCAACATCAATTGCGAATTGAGTTTGTTGCGTTCGCCTGCCTGCCTTTTCTCCTCCTCCTCGTCCTCGTCCTTCTCCTCCTGCGTCGCTTCCTCCTCCTTCTCCTCCTCCTCCTCCTCCTCCTCCTCCTCCTCCTTCTCGTCCCTCCTCCTCCTCCGCCTCCTCCCTCCGCCTCCTCCGCCTCCGCCTCCGCCTCCGCCTCCTCCTCCTCCTCCTCCTCCTCCTCCTCCTCCTTCTCGTCCTTCTCCTCCTCCTCTTCCTCCTCCTCCCTCCTCCTCCTCCTCCTCCTCCTCATCATCATCATCATCATCATCATCATCATCATCGTTATCATCATCAGCAGCATCATCATCATCAGCATCATTATCAACAGCATCAGCATCAGCATCAGCATCAGCATCATCATCATCATCATCATCAGCATCATCATCATCATCATCATCAACATCATTACCATCATCATCAGCAGCATCAGCATCAGCATCATCATCATCATCATCATCATCATCATCATCATCATCATCATCATCATCCTTCCTCCCCCTCCTCCCTCTTCCAACTCCTCTCCCTCATCCCTCCTCCACGGTCAGCGAGCGTCAGGCGCTGAGCTTGTTGCGCTCGCCTGCCTCCTCCGCCTCCTCATCCGCCTCTCCTCCTCATCATCATCCTTCCTCCCCCTCATCCCTCCTCCGACACCCCTCTCCATTGTCCATCCTCCCTTTAACGTTCGGCAAACGTCAAGTGCTAAGTTTGTTGCGTTCGCCTACCTGCTTGTCCTCCTCCTCCTCCTCCGCCTCCTCCTCCTCCTGCGCCTCCTCCTCCTCCTCCTCCTCCTCCTCCTCCTCCTCCTCCTCCTACTCCTCCTCCTTCTCCTCCTTCCTCATCCCGCCTCCGCCTCCTTTCTCCACCTCCTCCTCCTCTGCCTCCGCCTCTGCCTCCTCCTCATCATCATTCCTCCCCCTCATCCCTCCTCCGGCACCTCCTCTCCATCCTTCCTCCTCCTTTTTCACGTTCGGCCAACATCAATTGCGAATTGAGTTTGTTGCGTTCGCCTGCCTGCTTTTCCTCCTCCTCCTCCTCGTCCTCATCCTCCTCCGTCGCTTCCTCCTTCTCCTCCTCCTCCTCCTCCTCTCCTCCTCCTCCTCCTCCTCCTCCTCCTCCTCCTTCTCGTCCTCCTCCTCCTCCTCCGCCTCTTCCTCCGCCTCCTCCTCCGCCTCCGCCTCGCCTCCTCCTCCTCCTTCTCGTCCCTTCTCCTCCTCCTCCTCCTCCTCCTCATCATCATCACATCGTCATCATCATCATCATCATCATCATCATCATCATCATCATCATCATCATCATCATCATCATCATCATCATCGTCATCATCATCATCATCATCATCATCATCATCATCATCAACATCATTACCATCATCATCAGCAGCATCATCAGCAGCAGCATCATCATCATCATCATCATCATCATCATCATCATCATCATCATCATCATCATCAGCATCAGCATCATCATCATTATCATCCTTCCTCCCCCTCCTCCCTCTTCCAACTCCTCCTCTCCCTCATCCCTCCTCCACGGTCAGCGAGCGTCAAGCGCTGAGCTTGTTGCGCTCGCCTGCCTCCTCCGCCTCCTCATCTGCCTCTCCTCCTCATCATCATCCTTCCTCCCCCTCATCCCTCCTCCGACACCCCTCTCCATTCTCCCTCCTCCTCCCTTTCACGTTCGGCAAACGTCAAGTGCTAAGTTTGTTGCGTTCGCCTACCTGCTTGTCCTCCTCCTCCTCCTCCTCCTCCTCCTCCTCCTCCCCCTCCCTCTGACGTTCCGTTCTGGCCGCGGCGAGCCTCGGCCACGAGCAGGCTTTTCCCGACCCAGGTCCTGGGAGCGGCCAGAAGCCAGAGGCCCGCCCGCGGCCAAAGTGGTCCGTACTCAGACATCGGGCGTCTCGAAAAAATCGAGAGAGAGAGGTTTTTCACAGTTTTTGGCCTCTCGGGGCCCTCGCCGGGCCTCGGGACCGTCGAAAAACGACTCGGGATGAAACACCGGTCCCAGGGAAGTGGTCGGGAGGTCGGGGGCCCGCGTCTCGAAAAAAATCGAGGCGTCGGAAGTCTGGGTATCTCAGCGTCTCGTCCGTGTTCGAGGGAAGATGTGCACGCCGGTCGTTGAAAGGAGGTATTTCTGGATTCCCAGATCCCAATCTATTTCAAGCGCCTTCCTACTCCAATAATCGATGTGCTTTTGCTGCGATCTGTTATTCTCTGGGCGGGCCCGAACCCAATCTACGTTATCCGCCTTTCTACTTCATGTTTTTGCCTACTTCTTCCGACCGACGTGTACGGCGACCATGACCAAGATGCCGCGGGATCTTGTTGACGCAGATGTTGGGCATGGTCCATGACGGCGGTCGCCGATTCTCGAGGATGATCCACGAGTTGATGATGACCAAGATGGACGACGAACACGATCGATGCCGGGGTTTCCGTATCGGTGGTTGTCTCAACCGAGGGAAGATTATTTTGCTCCTGGCGATGATGGTAATATTCGGGATTACTTAGCTTAGGTGGCGGAGGGATTACCACCAGCACCAAACTCGAGGATGACCTTCCCCCTGTGGAGGCACCCCACTGTGAGGGTGTTGGTGCCAATTTCCAGGCCCCCGACGAGGCAGGGATCTAAGGTAGATTCGTGCCGTGTCGCCGCGGCGGCGACCTTGGCGCGGGCGTTCACGGTTGAGCGCCGCCAGCGGTCCGGGGCCGGACGACGTGGAATTGTCTGCGCTGTGGGAGACCCGCCGACAGTTCAGACGCCAACGCCGGGGTCGTCACGACACGAACCTGCCATATACACGTCCTCCGCCTCCGAAGCCGGTCTTCCCAGACGTCGGGGGGGCGGTGGACGTGAACGTGTTCGGGCCCCCTGCGGCCCAGTTGCGCCCACATCCACTGCCCCCTGGGCCTGGGGCTCTGGGAGGTCGGTGTCCCAGGCGGTGGGCATGGATAAGTCCCTGCCTCGCGGAGGCGGCGTGGTGGTAGGAGCCCCATCCGCAGAGGAGATCGCGCTCCGTTTGCGGATACGTCTTCATCGGTTCTCGGGTGTTTTCCTCCTCTTCTCGATCTTGAGGGAAGGACCTCGCTCTCGAGACCAGGAGGGAGGAACCTGGCACAAGCCAAGAGGGTTGGGCTTGGAGGTGTACAGACATGTTCGTCGATTCTCGAGGTTTTTCCAGCCTTGGGGCTCTCTCCAGCGGCTGCGCCTCGCCGAGAGCATTCCGGGGCTGCCCGGATCGTCCCGAACGGCCGCCGAGGATCCGAGCTACGGCCCGAACGCCAGACGACGAGGATCACCAACAAGGGTGTGCGCCGTTTTTGGTCGGTTCGGCCGCGTCCGCAGACGCCCAGCGATGCGTCTGTTGCCAGGGGTGCTTTATACTCGTGGAGCCCGGTCTCTGGGTGCCCCGTTCCGGGCCCCCTGGGCCTCCTCCTCCTCCTCCTCCTCCTCCTCCTCCTCCTCCTCCTCCTCCTCCTCCTCCTCCTCCTCCTCCTCCCCCTTCCCCCCCCGCCCCTCCCGTCGCCCGCGCGGGCGACGGGATTTTCGAAGAGGTGATCAGGGACGGCAGCTGCCCCAGGGGAAGGGCTCAGAACGTCTGCAGGCGCGATTTGCTTCATCGATACCACGTGTTACACCATAAAAAAAACCTCGGTTCGGTTTTCGGTCGTGTGGTCGCCGTGGACGGTCTTGGAGCAGAAGAGGAAGATGTACCGATGCGACGCGGCGACGTCGCTTTCGTTTCGGAGGTGTCTGGGCGCTTCTGCGCCTTCTCGTCGCCATGGCTGAACGACCAGGCAATCCCCCTCTCCTGATGCCTGGATGGGGGGTCCGGGAACCGATTCTGAGCGGATGTTGGGCGGAGGGCGCAAGCATACCGATGCCGCCACCCTTCCTCGTTTTCCTTTGTCGGGCCTCCTCGGGGGGGCCTCGACGCCACGGCTGGATTCGCCTCGGAGTCCTGCTTATAGAACGCGTCCCTGCGCCGCCCAGAGAGGCGCTTGGGGATCGCCTGGTTCAGCTGTATACCAGTACCTTCCTTCTCCTGCAACGGTGCACGTTTTGGGTACATGCCCCTCCCCCCCGAGGCAAGCTTTTCAGCTGGAAGTCTATGTTTTTGAGGGTCCCTGGGCGGAAGCGGTCTCCCAAGAAGACAAGATCAGCGACGAAGCGGCCGTCGGGACCCGGTTTTGCGGCGACCAGGTCTGGGTTCGACCCTGGCCCCCTTGGGGGTGCCGTTTTTCGCCCCGAGCCCGACGCGCCCACCGAGGGCCGACATAGGGGAACACGCGCGGATTGAACAAAAACACGTCGTCGGGGATGCGGGGCCTTGTTTCCGCAGGATCGGCGGCGAGCGAGGGAAGGTGTGGGAAGGAGAAGGAGAAGGCCCTCTCGGAGGGCGGCGGGGCTTCTGAGAAGGCCTCCGGCCTTCCGGGGAGGTGCCGGTGCCTTCGGGGCAGGCGTCGAAAGCTCCTCGGGAGGTGAGGGTGCCCTCCGAGCCTTCCGGGAAGGCCCGCCCCCTCTCACTTCCCCTCTGGGCTTTGTTTCCCCAGGAGGAGGAGGAGGAGGAGGAGGAGGAGGAGGAGGAGGAGGAGGAGGAGGAGGAGGAGGAGGAGGAGGAGGAGGAGGGTTCCAGGAGGAGGAGGAGGAGGAGGAGGAGGAGGAGGAGGAGGAGAGCAGGAGGAGGGGAGGAGGAGGGAGGAGGAAGGAGGGAGGAGGAGGAGGAGGAGGAGGAGGCGGAGGAGGAGAGGAGGAGCAGGAGGTTGGAGGAGGGGGGGGCTCTGTTTCCCCAGGAGAGGGCGGACGCCGACGGCCCAGTCGAAGGGGCCGCGGCCGCCGGGGCGGTTGGCGCTGGCTGCGGCGCGGCCCCGAGCGGCGCGGGAGGGCCGCGCGCGGCCGTGTAGCGGCCAGGGCCCCACCGGAGGCGAGGGAGCGGGCCCCCGCGAAGGGGCGCCCAGCGAGAGTGCAGAGGCGCGCGGGGAAGCGGGAGCCCCGATCCTCACCAGCGCGGCCCCCCCCCCCCCCTCTTCCTCTTCCTCCCTGTTCCTCCTCGCTCCTCCTCCTCGCTCTCCTCCCTCCTCCCTCCTCCTTGCTCCTCGCTCCCCTCGCTTCCTCCTCCTCCTTCGCTCCTCCTCCTCCTCCTCCTCCTCTCTCCTCCTCCTCCTCCTTCCTCCTCCTCCTCCTCCTCCCCCTGCTCCCTCCTCTCCTCCTCCTCCTCCTCCTCCTCCCCTCCTCCTCCTCCTCCTCCTCCTCCTCCTCCTCCTCCTCCTCCCTCTCCCTCCTCCTCCTCCTCCTCCAACCTCCTCCTCCTCCTCCTCCTCCTCCAACCTCCTCCTCCTCCTCCTCCTCCTCCTCCCCTCCTCCTCCTCCTCCTCCTCCTCCTCCTCCTCCGCCGCCTCCTCCTCCTCCTCCTCCTCCTCCTCCTCCTCCCCCCCTGCCCCCCCCGTCGCCCGCGCGGGCGCGCGCGCGCGTTGTCCGCCCCTCCCGTCCCCCGCGCCTCCCGTCGGCGTCGGCGGTCGGCAGGATCGAGGAGGGTCGAGGGTCGAGGGTCGAGGGGGATCGCGGAGTCGGGGGCGTCGAGGTGGTGGGAGATGCAGAGGGGGAAAGAGGTGCCCGCACCATACCGCTGCCCCCGCCCCGTGTTCGCCCATGGTTTGAGCCTCCTGTGAGTCCCTCGTCGCCTCCGCTGGACTCGCCCTGACATCTCCGCCAGGACGCACCGCAGGAGAGGTCCGGGGGGAACTATAGCAAGCCCACGAACTCCAGAGCCAACTTCCGAACTTCCACCGAACAACCCCCCCGAACAGGAACCGAACAAACCACCGAACAGGAACCGAACAACACCCCGAACAGGAACCGAACAAGCCTCCGGACTTCTACCGAACAAACCTCCAGACCTCCCTGGATAGGCCTTCTGGGGCCGCTTGGGTTGTGAACCAGAGGCCTCACAGACGTATCTCGTGCCTCTTTGGAAGTCTCTCGGAGCACAATGTTGGGCCTCTTGCGGGGGCTTCGGGGTCTCTGGAGACTAGTTTGGGCACTGTTTTGGGTTTCCTGGGGGCCTCCTGGCCCTTGGGGGGCCTTCTCGGCGGCCTCGTGGACCGTCTTGAAGGCCTTTGTGGCCGTCTAGGAGCAGCCTTGAGCTGTCTTCGAGCGCTCGTGGGCCGTCTGGAGGCCATCACAGTGCGCTCTGCAGCCATATTCCAGACAACCTGGGGCGCTTTGGGAGCCTCTTGGGCCAGCTTGGGGGCCTCTGGGGGGGTCTGGGGCCCCCTTGTGGGACGTCTGTGGGCGATCTTGAGGGCCTCTTGGGCCGTCTTGGAGGCCTCTTGGGACGTCCTGGGGCGATCTTGGGGTTCTCTGATGCCGTCGTGGACGCTATTCATACCAAAAAGGAAAGATGCTGAAAATACACGCTTCCCCGGAGAATTGGGGCGATATTTGCGTCTTGCGCCTTCGTAGGTGTCCTCTTGGAGCCCTCTTGGGGGGTTTGGGGACGACGACGACGACGACGACGACGACGACGACGACGACGACGACGACGACGAGGATGACGACGACGCTTGGCCCCCCCATCCCCATCCTTGCCCTTGCCCCTCAGTCGGACCTGCGCCGCATCCGCGCCATCGCTCCGTCCGGGTCCGAGCGCCGCCCCCAGACATCCGACGTCTCGATTTTTTCGAGACGCGGGCCCCGACCTCCCCAGACCTCGGGCGTCTCGAAAAAATCGCGACAGAGGTCGTTCATAGTTTGTGGCCTCTCGGGGCCCTCGCCGGGCCTCGGGACCGTCAGAAAACGACTCGGGATGAGAAACCGGTCCTGGGGAAGTGGTCGGGAGGTCGGGGACCCGCGTCTCGAAAAAATCGAGACGTCGGATGTCTGGGTCCCGACCTCTTCCCCGGGACCGGTTTCTCATCCCGAGTCGTTTTTTGACGGCCCCGAGGCCCGGCGAGGGCCCCGATGAGGCCAAAAACGATGCAAAACCTCTGTCTCGACTTTTTCGAGGCGCCCGAGGTCTGGGCCTTCGTCATGGCCGCCGCCGCCGCCGTCGGCGTCGTTGCTGGCGTCGACTTCGACGGCGGCGTCGCCGCCGACGGCCTCGGCGTCGGCGCCGTCGCCTACGAGGGCCGAGGGGCCGAGCCCGCCACGTCTGGCTGGGGCCGTCTCTCCGAGAGAGGCGGAGGCGCTTCGCTGAGATCTCGGGGCGCCGGTGGTTCGCCACGCTGTCCTCCCCAGACCCCCTCGAGTAATGAAAAAATCACGACGGGAGGTTTTTCGCCATTTTCGGCCTCGGGGGGCCCTCGCCGGGCCTCGGGAGCGTCAGAAAACGACTCGGGATGCAAACCGGTCCTGGGGAAGGGGTCGAGAACTCCGGGGTCGACGTACTGAAAAATTCCTTACGTCGGGGGTCTGGGGAGGCCGCCGCCCGGGAGGAGCAGCCGAGAAGCCGGCTCTCCATGTCCGGGCAGGCCCCGGGCCCGGGGAGGCGCCGATGGAGGCGTCGGGAGAGTCCGCAGCATAGGGGGCGTACCCGCGGCTGCCAGGCTGCCACGACTGCCTTGCGCGGCGCGTCTCCCCGCGGCAGTGCGATACGGAGCGGCCGCCGCTCGCCTGCTCCCCGGGCCCTGGGCGAGGCCCGCGGGCGAGGCCGGTGCAGGGGGCGGAGCGGTTGTGCCAGGCGGGTGGGCGCAGCGGAACCTGCACGGTCAGCCCGCACAGCAAGGAGGAGGGGCTGTCCAGGGCTGGCCTCGCGTCCTGGCCCCCGTCGGCCCCTCCCCGGCCGCTGTCGCTGGCCGCGCCCCGCCCGCGCGCCGCACGGTGCGGGCCTGGCCCTCCAGGGCTCTTGCATCCTTACCGCGCGTCTTTCGAATACGGGCTGGGCACCACGGCGAGCTGGGGGCCCTCTGGCTTTGCAAAAGGTTCCGGAGTACCCCTCCTCCTCCTCGTCCTCGTCGTCCTCCTCCTCCTCCTCCTCCTCCTCCTCCTCCTCCTCCTCCTCCTCCTCCTCCTCCTCCTCCTCCTCCTCCCTGGTGCTGCTTATCCCTGCCTCCTCTGCAACCTCTTTGGCTCGACCAGTTTGTTTGAGTCGCCTCCGCCGCGCCTGGCCCAAGCTGTGCGGTGTCTTGGTGCTCCTGCAGAACAATGCCCGGGAGGCTGCCTTAGTTCCGCCCGCGCGCGAGAGACGGAGGGGGTGGGTAATTCTGCCCCCCCTCTTCCTCCTCCTCATTCTTCTCATCCTGCCCCTCCTCCCCCTGCTCTCCCTTCTCCTCCGCCTTCTCCTCCTCGTCCTCTTCCTCCTCCTCCTCCTCATCATCATCAGCAGCAGCAGCATCATCGTCATCATCATCATCATCATCATCATCATCATCATCATCATCGTCATCGTCATCGTCATCATCATCATCATCATCATCATCATCATCATCATCATCATCATCATCATCATCATCA